TTTTCTTACAATATGCCTACTTTTGATGTGCACTTAATAAGTAGTACTGTAGAAAAAAACTGTCAAAAATAGTGTTTTTAATACAAAGGAGCCTCTGTAATTCTCATTAACCATTTAAAGTTGATTGCACCATTGAAAAAACTCTGGTTTTGATATGTGACCGCTCCCACTTCCACTCAGATCTGATCTGAAGTTTTCCTTCCCCCTTCCCTCTCACAGGTCCCAGAAGACTGTGGGACCATTCACAATGCGCAGCACGACTCGTGTATGAGCAGTGGGCTCCCAGCTGTGAAGCTGCAAGCTGTCATTGCCAGAGGTGCCCACAGTTAAGATGACCAAACACAGTCCCTGGTGCCCCCTCGGCTGAGCACAATCCTGGATCCTGCTACAGGTAAATGTCTGATTATTAAAAGTCAGCAGCTACAGTTTTTGTAGCTCCTGACTTTCAAATTTAAAAAAAAGACTGGAGCTCCTCTTTAATTTCACTCTACCCTTTTACTACAAAGAATCACTTTTAAGTGCTCTAATTTTTGCAAATCTGTCAGCAATTTGAAACTCCCAATTTCTCTCACCCTACATTTTTTCCTTCGATAAACTGTGCAGTGGCACCCCCCCAAGCCTTAAGCCAACCCTACTTGACTTATAGCCATCAAGGCGTATCCACTGAAGATCCCGATGTTAACACTGCAGTGGATTATGTGGTGACAATTTCTACCTCTTTTGACATCAATGACCCAAGACAGAAGAATTATAATCTTGTTTTTGTAATAGGGAAGTGTTATGTTTTCTGATTATGGCAATGTTGGCATACAAAGACAGCTATAAAAGGTGACCATCGTAAGCACTTTTGGTGATGGTTTAGTGTGTATGTAAATGTGGAAAATCATATAAATAAAAAAAGCCCATGCAAAAAGCAAATCATATACTGACTGCTTCAATTACATGTGCTAACCCCATTATCAGAATACTTTAAATAACACTAAAACCTGTTCTATAGAAACATTACATTTTATACGTAAAAACATTGTTTTTTAAGCCTAGAAATATACTTAAGTGTAAAAGGAGGATCATGTCCACTACCTTAGAGATTTTGGGGTGTTGCTTACAGTGATTTGCAAAGCTAAAGTATATCTCCCTAATGGCACAGTCTCCAACCACTGAAGATATTGTTTAATTATTACTTTCTATATCCCAAGTGTCCATATAACCTGACTATAAATCTAGAAAGGATACAAACAATTTGATCTTTTCTACTTCTTCATATTTAACAGCTGAGCTATGCCTGAACTAGAGATAAGAACATAATTCATACAAGTTAAAGACACATAGCTACTTTATTTAAGCCTTTGGACAACAAAGTGTCCTCATCACAGATATTGGTATAATTTTTATGCAAACCGTATATTTTTTAAAGGGACCCTATCTGGGAGAAAACATATTAGCCAAAAGTCTTCTGTAAAAGGAAACACTTAACAGTGACCTGGCCTAGCACCCATAAATGGAATTCTCATTCTGTTGCAGAGCTACACCACCTCAAAGAATCTACATCTGATACGCTTAGTAATGTGTAGGATGCCCACATCATCCAGTGAGCTCTGTGGTTCCATTCACCAACCCTTACATCACTACAGGGTACAGGTCAGTGGGAGGAAAAAGTGAGTGCTTTGGGGAAACCAAGGAAATCAATATTCACAGTTCTGTAAGTTTCCTAGAAGATTTCAGAGGAGTATTTCTCATAAATGGAGTGGTGGTCTAGCACTACAAGACTGTTTCTATTTTTGTTTAAAGTTGTTTTGAGTTACTTTGAATATACTGTATTTTTACTATGCAGTTATAAACATTTTAAATGTAACATATTTAAAAGTACTATAACCCTGAATAGATGTCAAGGGGAAAATACACTGTTTTGAAATTAAAATTGCTATATTAAATTTAAAATTATTAAAGAATAATTGCACCTATTTTTTTCTCTGGATCCCACTGTACAAAAAATTCCCTGAATCCACTAATCAAAGGTCTATTAAGGGGGGTATGGGAGAGTGCAATCCACATTCGGTGCCAACTCTTTCATTTTAATATTTCTTTATTACATTTCAAGATAGTATACATAGTGTAGTAAACATAAAAAAAGTATTTGTAGGTAACAATTAAACTTGTTACCTACAAATGCTTTTGTACAACATGTACAACTCAAATGTATTGTATAACAGAGGACAGATAATAGTGTGCATCATTATATAGTATACAGCAGTACCTTTCCACCTCTATAAGATATGTGTGTTTTAAAGGATGTGAGCAGGACACCTAATTCAAGGTGTACTAAATTGTTTGGAGTACCAATTGACCCAGAAAAACCATTTGTTTTCGGCTTTTTGTAAGCATCCTTCAGAGGATGCTATCATGCGTTCATATATGCCATGGGTGTACACCAATGTGATAACTTCTTCCCTGAGGAGGGGGTCGGATGTTTTTCAGTGTTGTGTGATTACTAGGTGGGCAGACAGTAATAACTGAGTTATTACACAATGATAGTGTGTTGGGAAGGCCTCTATTCTAAGGTTGAACTGGATAGACTTTGTCTTTTTTCAGCCAGACTGACTATTCCAATATTTAATAGTGCAAGTTCAGGAAAGAGTGTAAAGGGAAATTTTGTTACTATCTTTAAGTAGGGAAGAGATATCCTTACAAAACATTCTCATATTAGTGCATTCCCAGAAGATATGGAATAAGCTACCACTAATTCTACAGTTTCTCCAGCATAGTGGTGATATTGTTGAGTTCCTTTTTTGGATAGTAGTTGGAGTGATACAGTTGTGCTCAAAAGTTTGCATACCCGGGCAGAAATTGTGAAATTTTGGCATTAATATTAAAAATATGACTGATCATGCCAAAAAAATGTTCTTTTATTGAAGGATGATGATCATATGAAGCCATTTACTATCAAACAGTTGTTTGGCTCCTTTTTAAATCATAATGATAACAGAAATCACCCAAATAGCCATGATCAAAAGTTTACATACCCTGGAATGTTTGGCCTTGGTACAGACACACAAGGTGACACACACGGGTTAAAATGCCAATTAGAGATTAATGTCCCACATCTGTGGCTTTTTAAATTGCAATTAGTGTCAGTATATAAATAGTCAATGAGTTTGTTAGCTCTTACGTGGAAGCACTGACTAGGCTAGATACTGAGCCATGGGGATCAGAAAAGAAATGTCAAAAGTCCTGCGTAACAAGGTAATGGAACTTTATAAAGATGGAAAAGGACATAAAAAGATGTCCAAAGCCTTTAATATGCCAATCAGTACTGTTAAATTACCTATTAAGAAGTGGAATGTTCGGGGATCTCTTGACACCCAAGCCAAGGTCAGGTAGACCAAGTAAAGATTGCAGCCATAACTAACAGAAGAATTGACAGGGATTCAAAGAAAAACCCACAGGCAACCTCAAAAGAAATACAGGCTGCTCTGGAAAAAGATGGTGTGGTTGTTTTTAAGGAGTACAATACGGTGATACTTGAACAAAAATGAGCTGTTTGGTCGAGGTGCCAGAAAGAAGCTTTTACTGCACCAATGCCACAAACAAGCCCAGTTACAATATGCCTGACAACACCTTGACATGCCTAACCAGGCCTTTTTGTGTCATAATGAGAATGAAACATAGCATGAAAGTTAGTTTTTCTATGCGCATAAGTTGTCACAGTGAGAGTCTTTAGCCAATTTCCATAGAGATGACCTCTTCACTGGATGGTTGAGACCTTTAATATTTATGGATAGGATTTTAATGGTCATGCTGTAAGGTAGTGGTTCAGCGTTGAAAGTCAGGTATGGTGCGGGTTTGCTGAGTTCAGCACCGAGTGTGCTCTTGCAGCAAAAGTCCCACTGTTGGAAGGGAAGGAGTGCTATATAGATAGGGCAACTTTTATCTGCAAGTAGCAAATCAACAATGGTAGAATTTGGAAACAACAGAAAAAAACAAAAGTCAAAAGTAACAACAGTAGGGATTGCATCCCGAATATAGCTTCCTGTGTGGTAGGCACTCCTTGTACCTTGGAAGAATAGCGGTGGGGAGAGAGTTCAATAAGGTGGAGGCAAGTAGACAAAGGAATTAAGATGTGTGAATGTCCCTGGCACTCGATCAATGAGGGTTTGCTCTGTGTGCCTTGTAGCTATTTGATGTGAGGCACTCTACTTGTTGGCTGCTTTGCTGGTGGTGGGGGTTCAATTAGAGTACCCCAAGATTGCAGTAGGCATAAGCCTTCATTTAGGAAGGATACTGTATAGTTGGTGCTGTTGTGTGTGATCAGCAATTTAGCAGGTGCAGACCATTGGTATATTATTTTGTTCTGCATGTCTTTTGTTAGTATATTAACCACTAGCCTACAGGGCACTTATACCCCCTTCCTGCCCAGGCCAATTTCCAGCTTTCAGCGCTGTCGCACTTTGAATGAAAATTGGACGGTCATATAACATTGTACCCATATGAAATTTTTTTGAGACATATAGAGCTTTCTTTTGGTGGTATTTAATCACCTTTGGGATTTTATTTTTTCTTAAACAAACCAAAAACCACTGAAAATTTGAAAAAAAAAAAGTTTTTTCTTAGTTTTTGTTATACAATTTTGTAAATAAGTGATTTTTCTTCTTCACTGATGTGCGCTAATGAGGCTGCAGTGATGGGCACTGATAGGCTGCACTGATGGACACTGATAGGTGGCACTGATGGGCACTGATGAGGAGACACTGGTAGGTTGCACTGATGGGCATTGACAGGCATCACTGATGGGCACTGAAAGGCAGCACTGATACATGACACTAATATATGGCACTGATAGGCAGCACTGACTGGCACTGATAGACAGCACTGACTGGCACTGTTAGGCAGCACTGACTGGCACTGTTAGGTGGCACTGACTGGCACTGATAGGCGGCACTGACTGGCACTGATAGGCTGCACTAATGCGCACTGATAGGCGACACTGACTGGCACTGATAGGTGGCACTGATTGGCAGCACTGATAGGTTGCACTGATTGGCATTGATAGGTGGCACTGACTGGCACTGATGGGTGACATTGAAAGGCAGCTCAGATGGGCACTGATATGTGGCATTGATGTGCACTGGTATGCACTGATATGTGGCATTGATGTGGCACTGATGGGCACTGGCATGTGGCACTGATGAGCACTGACTGCTGGCACTGATGGACACTGACAGGTGGCACTTCTGGGGCCACGCTGGTCATCAGGGCACACTAATCATCAGTGCCCTGATGATCAGTGTACATGTCCCCTCGACATGTCCCCTCTCAGCATGACAGCTCGAGAGGAGAGAAATGCCAATAACCGGCATTTCCGTGTTTACATGTGATCAGCTGTGTGATTGGACACATCTGATCACATGACCGAGCCGACATCTTCGGCTCTTTCCGTGATCCGAGGGACACAGCGTACCATTGATCGCCGCGCTGCGCGGTGAGAATGGAAGGACGTCATATGACGTCATATGACCTTCTATCAGAACGAGAGAACCACCTTGCGCCCGTCATTGTACTATAGGGCGGGCGGAAGGTGGTTAGCTGTCTGTAGCATTGAAGCGTATGTTGAGATAAATCTGTAAAGATCTGCAGGTGGGTAAACGGATCAGGAAGGGTTCCCAGAGTTCTTGCTATCTGCATCTTTTTTGCGTGATAGAAGTGGATTTTCACGCATCTACTTGTGGCAAGTTATTAAAGGATATTTTTTGGGTTAAAGGATTGTGGCATATGTGTGCTGTGCATAGATTTAGTAGGTTTGAGGGTTTTTTCTAAATATACCCCTTTAAGCCCCTCACACTCTTGGCAGAATCTTATTTATCACAAGTATTTATATAGTGCCAACAATCTATGCAGCACTTTACATACTCTACATTCACATCAACAATCTAAGGTCCCTATCTCATATAGTTGGATACACATACACATTCTAGGGCCAATTTGGACAGCAGCCAGATAACCTACCAGCATATCTTTTAAGTGTGGAAGAAACTAAAGTACACATAAGAAAACCCATGCAGGCACAGGAAGAACATGCAAACTCCATGCAGTGTTCTGACCAAGATTTAACCCAGGGACCCCAATGCTGCAAGAATGAAGCACTAACCACAAAGCCGATGTGCTGCCCAGTTAGGACTATTGACAAGTTGAGGTTAATTTTAGTTAATCCTCATTGCCATGATATCTTTATTTACAGTAGCACCAAAGCATACTGTGTAACATTTACTTCTTTGATTAGATCCTTGTAACCTGTCAGTGTTCACAGGGAGACACAAGTACCTACTTGTAGTTCCTTGTGTACACAGTGTCAAACCTAGTTCATAGCTTGAACAGTATTGTCTCTGCTTCCATCTGTGTGTGACAGCATTGAGAGGTTAGACATGTTGAGTCACACATACACAAACTTCTATGCCAAAATAATAATGACCTCAAGTTCCTGGCCAAATAATACCTTCTCACTGGTATCATTTTGGAAGATAAAAGGCATTAGACGAATCGAGGATTATTTTAAAGAAACTGATAGCATTAGTAATTAATGTTATACCAAGACACATCTTATCATAATAATTTATTTATTGACTGATCAATGAGACTTATTTAATATATTAAACTGTATACCAGCTAGCTGTCTTTAACACAATTAATTAGTTTAGATATTCCCTTTATTATATATTTTTGTACAAACAAAACTAAGTCAGTTTTGAATTTTTTTCTAGTAGAACTAAAATAATATTTTATAACAGAAACAAATCTGATGTAATGCTTTCTTAAAATGCAGTGCTCATTATAAAAAATGAAAAAAAATTACAGTAAAAATTCATCTGAAAGCAGTTTCTTTAATCTCTCTTTGAGATTTGTCCCTCAGACTGCATTTTTAAATCAGTTTTGTCAAGTTATGCTCTTTCAGAATCTTGCTCTATTGAACAATTTTTAGATTGATCATCATGTATTTCTCTCTAATACAGAATTTACCACAGCTCTGGAATTAAATCACTCTGACTCCTCTCTGACTTTCTGCGCTGCCCAGTCTTGCTTGTCTATGAGATAGTTAATTAGTTGTGACTATAGCCACATATATACTTTATATCTCACAGGCTGATTGTGTTGCTCCAACCTCCTGAAAAGTTGACTTTTTTGTGCAACACCCTTATTTTACTACCAGCTGCAGGTATATTTGCTCACTGTACAAATATGCATGGTCGGCTGAAATCATTGTACATGCTTGAATGACAGTTGCTCTGCAGAAAAATTCTGCAGTGTGGTCAGGTGTTAAAGAAATCTTACCAAAAATGAAAAAGGCTTGTTAAATCACCCAGGGGACCCAATGCACATAACACTTGTCCCTGTTGAAATACCTGCTGAGGTTGCTGAGCAGCATGGTTTGATTAATTGCCCCCTCTCCCCCCACTGCTGTCTGACCATGATGGAGCAAGCTAAACAAAAGCCAGCTACTACATCTGTCCAAGATAGATTAATGTTGTAGCTGCAGGTATGTGTTGTGAGCTTGTGTTTTTGTGAATGACAGCGCTTCCTTCCAGCCACCGTTTTTCACAACACAAGCTTCCTATTACTGCTGTAGTAGTCTCTCCATAACTGGCTAGCAGCTGTGGGAGGTTAGAGGATTATCAGTACAAAGTAGGCAGCAGAGGAGGCATAGAGTTGCCTGTCAAATAAAGCTACAGAAAAGGGCTGTATTTTTGTTGTACCTCCCCCATAAAAATGTCAATAATTTGGGCTTCTTCCTGGTATGGAAATATAGCCAGCACTAACAGAAATAAAAATTATATTTTATTTCTAAACCACAGAACAGATTTGTAGGCACAATACTATGTGGTCCCTGGAGAATTTTGCAAGCCTTTAAGCTTGCAAAATGGTTCTGTGTGAAGAGGGGAAGCCTCTCATACACAACCTGAGCAGAACTCGGAAGACTGTGGCTATAACTGTAGTAGCACCATTTACTACAGTGTTTTTCAACTTCCTCAGTGGTCCAGCAGGTATGAGATAAGCATATTTACATTGTAACAAGTTGAACCAATGTGAGTATGCAATCAAATAATTCCTGGTGTTGAGCTTTAAGTGTTTTTTACTGTACTTGCCTAAACCCAGCTACCTAGCTTCCCCTTATGTAATGTCAAGCAGGGGGATGTGGAGTTAGTGTTTACACTATTTGACCCATTGGTTTTCCTTGTGTGATTGTTAATTTTATTTCTAATATTTATTTAGTATAGAAAGCATAGTCTTTTGTGCTCTGTCAGTACTAAGAGAAATCAAAGGTATTCCCTGCTAATTGCAGTGCAGTCGAGTCATAGGACTGTTATCTGTGTCACACATGTTTAATGCCTGCTAAGTGTGGTATTGTGTGTAACCATTGACCACCCATTTCTGGATCTTGTCCTAAACTGTCACTCTTCACAGTTCAACTTAACAGTAAAGCTGTCAATTTGTGGTTCTCAAATTCTTAAAGCGGAACTTCACCTAAAAAGGGAAGGTCCACTTTTTCACCTCCTACCCCCTCATCTACCACTTTTTTTTTCTGAGAACGGGTGCTTTGTTTGACAGGTACCCTTTCCCCTTTTCACTCTAATCACCTAGGCAACTGGAGTGGAAATTCACTACCCCCCCCCCCCCCCCCCCCTAGACTGAAACTTCCTGGAATATGTCACAAGTCCCAGGAGGTTGCAAGTTCATTCACAAAGTGCAGTGTGGCTCACGCATGTAAACTGTGAAGCTGTAAGAAGTTAATTCAAGCTGGAAATGCCAGGGACCTGAAGACTGGCAAAGAACAGGCCCAGGTGAAGACAGTCTTGGATCTCTGGCATGGTAAGTGTCAGTTTATTAAAAGTTAATCATTTCGGGAGGCATGGCCTGAGCACACTTTGAATGGACCCTTGAGCACCAAGCTCCGGAGTATATTGGGGAACTGAAGCGACTAGAGTTTCACTGTACACCCAAAACTTACCAGGACTCTGGAGGCTACCCCTTCAAAGCCAGCTGAAATGTCCAGGAAACAGAAGGATGAGAGGAGACCTGAAAAACTGACAGAATTTTTCGTTCAGCCCACATGAGATAGCAGCCAAGATGGTGCCAATGATCCAGCCCCTGCTTCCTCACTACATCAGCACAATCACTAAACAGACCTACCAGATGACTCTTCATTGGTGAAGGGAATCCTGAGGATCCTTCTCCCCTTCTTCCAACATGCCACCCAGTCCTCCCTGCAACAATCCTGCAAAGGCTGCATGAGACTAGATCACAATTAGTCTGACCATGAGGTGAGCCATGATGATTTCTCTTTTCAACAAACCTCCACACATTCACACCTTTCATCTTTTCCCACTTCCAACCAGTCTGTAATGAACACACTACTCACAGACATGCTCCTATCTCTCCAAAGCTCCATACATGCTGATTTCTTGTCTATTACTAACAAATTTTCTGAAATACAGTCACTGGGAAACAGACCACATAGATGAATTCTTGCTGGAAAAAAAAATATTTTAAAGTACAGACAGCATGGATTCATGAAAGACAGAAGTTGTCAAACAAATCTGATTTATTGTTATGAGGAGGTGAGCAAAACCTTGGACAGAGAGGTGGCTGTGGATATGGTATACTTGGATTTTGCAAAAGCGTTTGACACAGTTCCCCAGACATGGCATGTATAAGGTAAAGTCTACAGATTTGGAAAAATCCGTATTTTAATGGATAGAAAACTGGCTAAAAGATTGTATTCAGAGAGTAGTGGTTAATGATTCATACTCTGAATGGTCTAGGGTTGTCAGTGGTGTACCCCAAGGGTCAATGTTGGAACCCTTACTTTTTAATATATTTATAAACGATATAGGGTCTGGGATTATAAATACCATTTCAGTCTTTGCAGATGACACCAAGCTGTGCAGTGGAATAACGTCCTTACAGGATGTATCTAACTTCCAAGCCGACCTCAATGCACTGTTTAATTGGGCAACTATGTGGCAAATGAGGTTTAATGTTGATAAATGTAAGGTTATGCACTTGGGGGCTAAGAATATGCATGCATAATACATAATGGGGGGGATGGTTACAACTGGGGGAATCAGTGGTGGAGAAGGATCTGGGAGTTCTTGTAGATCACAAGCTTAATAATGTCATGCAATGCCAAGCTGCTGTTTCTAAAGAGAGCAAAATGCTTTCTTGTATTAAAAGAGGTATAGACTCCAGAGAGAGAGATATCATATTACCCCTGTACAAATAATTAGTAAGACCGCATCTGGAATATGCAGTTCAATTTTGGGCACCAATTCACAAAAAGAACATTGGGGAACTTGAGAAAGTACAGAGAAGGGAATCAAAACTGATA